CAAACTTTTTGCCAAGATTTCCCTAGAGATGGTCCCAAAATAGGGGCAGTAAAGATTTCACTGGGGCGATTTATGATCTCTCAGTATATTACTGAATAAATTATAATGTTGCATGATTTGCATAAAATATATCTAAATGCAAGATATATGTACACTACTGTCCAGAACCACTTTCAAGTGCTGATAATCCTTGAGCAGTAGTTTAAAATAAATAAGAGTCCACTCCATTAATCTTATATATTTCAAAATGTGTGAGAGGTGAGTACTGTGATTGCTTCTAAAATATAACCCCTATTAAAGGGGTTAATGTGCACATTGGAATAATGGACATGGAGCATGTAAAGGAAAAGGCATGGGCAAAAAAAAATATGGAGGTAATATAGCTATGCCTATAGGAGCAATGAAGAATAATGTGCAGTCAAGTGTCACAGACCACTTTCTCCCCGTAAATTGGATTGGGAACTATTATATTGCACAGAACTATCCCATGACAGCACCAGCTGGCAATATACTTACCGCGCAGACTTTAAGAATAAAAAACAACCTATATTACAGTAAAACTGCTGAAAGCAGGACTTGACATAAAAATAATTAAGGACCGAGGGATACTTTGCTTTATGTGTGACTGTGTATTACATCAGAACATTTAAAGGGAAATTATGGGATAAAAAAGCCTCTATATTTTTAATGCATTAGAATTTTAAGAAATGTTTTAAAAAAAATACTATGAAAGATCCTGTAGTAGCTTCACTGTTTCTAGAGATTGATTATAGTTGGCAGACCCCTCCTTCACCAGGAAGAAAGGTCCAATCAGGAGCATCACGTTCTGGTCACTGAGGTCTATTCTTATCCTATAAACCTCTGCTCTGTCAGTTACTAGTCTGTGCATTCATGTTCTGCAGCTTGGATCTTGCCTTTTAAGGAAGGAGAGGGAGCTTGGTCCAAGTTGTGCATGCAGTATGTGCATGTTACATGAACAATATGGACAAAATGTATGTCATAGTCAAATGTTCTCAGTGTGTGTAAAAGAAGTGCACGAGGATTACAAAAAACAAAATTAGGTTTTGGCTGTTTTGGGAGGTATACTTGGGATATAGTCAACCAGAGATGCCTGATTAGAAAAAAAAAAAAAAAAAAAACAGACTGACTCCTAAAATTATTTACTTGAAATTAAAATATGTGCAGCCCCTTTAAATGTGTTCTATCCTGTTTAAATGTCAAAATATCCACTCTATATAGATAACAAAATTATCTTGGGAAGACTTAACATTTGAAAATAAATAGCTTAGCCTAAAATATTATCATGTATATGTATTTACTTCTCTTTTTTTATATCTTATAATTGATGCCAATTAGCAACTCTGTAAGGTCTAATAATCTTGTAGATAACATTTTAAATCGTGGTAAAACTGAAGATAAAATGACCTGTCTCTATGACTTACTCATGCAGTATAATTAAATGGATCACTAATGTACTTCATATTTTCCTGACGATGTAATGAACAAATGTTTGACTCTCCCCATGCATATGCAATTCCTCCCTAGATTATAGTGTTTACTTGAAAATGCTTTCATGAAATGGCCAAGATGCAATATCATACACCATACATTTTGTGTGCTGTTAACAATTTCTGGCAACATTGGCCTGATGAGATCTCTGCTGTCAAAAAGCACAGTTTAGTACTGCCAACATGACATTTGCTGTTTGGACTACCATTTCGATTTCAGTTCTTTTGTTTCACCAGAATAAGAAATAAAGATTTGGATGCACTGGATTGGAAAATAAATGTTTCTGCTTAGCAAGCAAAGCTAACTAAAAATAATTGGAACAGAATGATTATATATATATTTTCTTAAATCACTTAAAGGACCACTCTAGGCACCCAGACCACTTCAGCTTAATGAAGTGGTCTGGGTGCCAGGTCCCTCTAGGATTAACCCTTTTTTTAATAAACATAGCAGCTTCAGAGAAACTGCTATGTTTAATCCAGCCTCTAAAACCTCTAGTGGCTGTCTCATTGACAGCCGCTAGAGGCGTTTGCGTACTTCTCACTGTGAAAATCACAGTGAGAAGACACCAGCGTCCATAGGAAAGCATTGTAAATGCTTTCCTATGAGACTGGTTGAATGCACGCGCAGCTCCTGCCGCGCATGCGCATTCAGCCGAAGAGGAGGATCGGAGGCAGAGAGGAGGAAGAGAGCTCCACGCCCGGCGCCGGAAAAAAGGTAAGTTTAACCCCTTTCCTCTCCCCAGAGCCCGGCGGGAGTGGGACCCTGAGGGTGGGGGCACCCTTAGGGCACTATAGTGCCAGGAAAGCAAGTATGTTTTCCTGGCACTATAGTGGTCCTTTAAAATGTTCTCTCTCTCTCTCTCTCTCTGTCTCTCTCTCTCTCTCTCTCTCTCTCTCTATATATATATATATAGATATAGATATAGAGAGATAGAGAAAACATATTTTAAGTGATTTAAGAAAATGTCTATGAACAAGACAACATTTTGTTAATTTAACAAAAAACAAAAACAAAATATTAGCAGACTATAAGCTTGTTTTAAAGTTCATATCCAAGTCTTATCAGGAAAAGGAATTCCATCCAGCACATATCCACAAATTGCATGTTTGAAGTGTAACAGGAAATGGTGACAGTGTATGTCACTCCAGGCTACAAATAACCCAGAAGACTTTGCAAGTTTTCATTCTGTCATTGTTGGCCAGTCAAGAAATCAACCACATCCAAGACTTAGTGTCACATCATGACTATAAACGAACCAACACTGAGAGCTCTTCCTAGAAATATTAGTAATGTTAACCTTACCACTGCCAGCAATGAGAACAATGCATTGTAAATACCCTGATAAAATTCAAGCAGTGTCTTCAGAGTATGTCACAAGGTTACTAGCGCAGAGAGAGGGTTTCAAGATTTATTCCTTAGCTGGTGGACTACTTGGATCACAGTATGTTCTCTGGCTGCTATGTAACTGCTGTACAATGGAACATATACATAAACACATGGTGGGACTTACTTCCAGACTGCAGCCTCATGTCCTACCTGGTCACCACTGCCATTATTCAGCACTGTGGAAACTGTTGACGCTTTATAAATACCAGTAATATATTAAATAAAAATAAATAAATCATTAATTTCGATCTTGTTTTTCTACTTGATATGCGGAATGAAATGCTGGAGAATGTGAGTCACCTTACGCCTCACTTGACATATGAACAAGTGGACAAGGAGACAATTAAGGTGCCATGTTAAGTGCAATACCCACTATAGGTTATAGTAGTAGCATTGAGTCTATCCCCATCCCCCATTTTGTGTCAAATGATTTTGGAGAAGTTTTACAAATAACAGAGCTCTCCAATTATTGTGTTCATTGCTGTTCGCAGCTCACTACCTCATTAGCCACAGCAGAGTGACTGGGCTTTTGGTTCTGATAGAACACCAGCATGTGGCATCAGCCAACCTCATCACTGAATAACATGGAGAGGCATTCAACACAAAGTCATGAGTTTATCAGAGTCTTTGGAATGAGTGATTATAGTAATAAAGTAATGATGGGATTTACTGTGAGTGGAGCACTTGGAAGTAATGTCCGCAATAATAAGACAATGGTTGAGTGGATGATCCGAGAACTTTGTTGTGAATGTTAGGCTTGGGTTTGTTACTAGAGTTGGAAGAAGGTGCTGACATATTTGGAGGATACAGGTATAGTAGGCTGACTTCTGAATCCAGGAGGGCAGCAGGTATAAAGGTATACTCTGAGAGAGTAGTCAGGTATGAGAGCCAGCGTCGGGAGAGAACAATGAAGAACTAGGACATTGGGAGAGAGTAGTCAGAAAGACAAACTGAGGTCTGTAGTCCATAATTCAGGGTAACTGAATGGGTTACTTTGGTGTACTCACATGAACTGAGGTTGCAAGGCAACAGGATTATACAGAGCAAGGAAAGCCAGGGTAACTCAATAATTGAGCAATGAGGGAAGACAGAGACAATGGTTATGTAGGCAATCATGAATTGCAAGAACCTGACTCAATTAGACATGGAACCATGAAATCACTGAAAAAGGAAACAAAGGTCTGAGTTAACACATCCTTGGGAATTCCGACAACCTTTCTATCTTTCACCTTTGCTACCTTTAACCCTAACTAACCCTAGCCGCCATAAAAAAGGAGTCATTTTTACTGTACAGTGGATTTACTTTAGAATTTCTCCTGACCTTTTAATTTCATTGTAATCCCTTAGAGGTGGCTCTAGTAGGCTATTCACAGAGCAGGAGATAAGACATTCAAAATTAAACGGACTGTGCAATAATAGATGCTAAATCATTTCAGCTCTTCTTCAATAAAATTTAGGGAGGCCCTTTGAGTCTAAGCCAGGGTAGGTGTTGCCAAAGCTGCATAAATAATTTGATGTCGCTCATAAACAGCAGATAATTGAGCAGTTATACTGCAGGGACATGATGTATACACTAAAACTACATTATTAAGCTAACATTGTTGTGTTGCTTAGAGTGTCCCTTTAGGTTTATAGTTTGATTTACATTTAGAGTTGGCCTTTGGCTTAGACTTATGGCTAGCGGTTATTGCTCAACACTGTGCAATAATCAGTATAATTGAAACTATTCTGCTGTCTATGTTTTTGAACAGCTCTTATACTTACAGGGTCATTGACTGAAGTGAGAATTCAAAGTGAATTCAGCGTGATTTTCAAATTAAAGGCCAAAGTAGATGAACTTAGATAATGACTTAGATAATGTTCCCAGTTTTTCTATTTTTACCTTGAATTTGAAATTCAGTTTGAATTCTTATTCTAGTAAATAACCCTAAACATGACAATATTTAATCTGACATCAATTTTATGTTGTAGTCATTATTGTATACTCAACATTTAATGTTGCTCAATTTTAACAGATAATAATATTTAAAGTGAACCTATAACATTGCTATTTAGTGCTGTATTGAGTTTTTGATGAACCACTCTATGAATTTATTTTCAAGGTTCTCTCCCCATTATCTGATTCCATCCTGGCGGAGAAAACGGTCACAGTCCTGGATGATCGTGTAGGAATTGTAGAACTTGGAGTTCAGCTCATTACTGGGCTCTCTTTGTCTGTGCAAGCAAGCAAAGCAAACAAGAGAGTACTTATTACAAGCGCAACAGCGAGCGACATACTTCACAACTTTAAACAGGTACAGTACAGTAGAATGTTATATTAAATATTCTAAGCAGAATGTTTTTTGGATTGATGATTTGCAATAAATGCTCATTATATCTGCACAGGTGAATTAAATAAGTTAATCAACCCCCATCGACATATGGGTAGGATTGCTATGCTTCCATGGTGGATTCAGAACGTATTTTAAACCTTTAGCTGCCGAGACATTTCTTTCCTCTGTTCTGAAGCAATTTTTACGTTTTCGAACTCACTGGAGTTAAACACCAACAAAAGTGATTTTTCTGAGACTCACCCTTACCAAATATGTCTCCAAATAACAAAAAAAACAAAAAACAATCTTAAAAAAGCCACAATGCAACATGCAGAAATTGAGTAATTTTTCTGTGTACTTTAACAACAGCAAGAGTCTTTATTTTATCACGATTTGAAAAATTAACTCCAGCTCAGCTTCTCGAAAAGCAAATTTAGGATTCCATACGCAATTTTGTTTATTCAAAATTAACAATATAAAACTAGGTACAAAATTATATTTCAGTTTGGCACTTATTTTGTTATGGTTTGAATATTCATTAAGCATACCGATAGGGACTCTACGATGGGGATCGTTTTAGGGCATTCTTAGCAGGTACAATTTATTAGGTGACTCCTTGCTATGGCTACTTAGTGTTTAGTACATTATATATATTCAGCTGGCGATCTATGAGGTGGTAGACATACTTAGGACTATTGTGCTAAACTGTTTGTATTTTCTACTATTTAGTTTAACCTTGTTCTATTTCTTTATATGGAGACCTTGAAGTCTTTTACAAGATCAGCTAGGTGAAGGAGTATCTGGTCATACTTTAAGCCTCCTGTTACATCTATTCAGTTCTTTTGATATTACTGCGAGATTTACTGGTTTGCTGAGCTTATTAGCTCTCCTTAGGGTTTTAGATGTGGTGTGATTATTTTATTTTCTGATACTTATATTCTTTAATAAAATGTGATTTTATTCTGTATATATTAATTTGCAAACCCAGGGAACCTTATTGTGCCTTTTGGGCTTAAGGTCCTTAGGATCACTTCAGTGTTCACCTATGGGGATTCTGGTGATGCTGGAGGTCCTCATGCAAGGGGTGAGGACGCCCAGCGCGTTTAGATGACCAAAAGTCCCTCTAGTGGCTGTCTGGTTGACTGCCTCTCTGCTATTTCTAACTGGATGGCTGCTCACTTCCTTAAACTCAAATTGACCAAAACTGAAATTCTGGTCTTCCCTCCTTCAAGTGTTGCTACTCCTGTGTCTGTCTCCCTCCAAGTCAACGGTGCTACCATCAGCTCCACCACGCAGGCTCGCTGCCTAGGTTTTCTCTTTGACTTCAACCTCTCCTTCACGTGTCACGTTCAGTCTATCACCAAATCCTGTCATTTCCATCTCAAAAACATTGCGCGCATCGACCCTACTTAACACCAGATGTGACTAAGGTGCTGGTCCATTCCACTCTCCTTTCTCGCCTTGACTACTGTAATCGGTCTTACGTGCTCTCAACTTGTGCCGTTACAGGCCATGAATGCGGCGGCGAGGCTCATCTTCCTGTCTGCCCGCACCGCCCACGCCTCCCCCTTCTGTCAGTCCCTACATTGGCTTCCTGTAAGATATAGGGCTCAATTTAAAATTCTGGTTCTTGCTTTCAAATCTCTACAAAATGCTGCTCTCACCTATCTATCCTCCCTAATACACAAGTATGTCCCGTCTAGGCCCTTACACTCTTCTGTCCATACTCCCACCTCTGATGCTTGCCTTCAAGACTTCTCGAGGGCTGCACCGTTCCTGTGGAACTCATTTCCCTCCCCCGTTAGATGCTCACCCAGTCTCCACTCCTTCAAAAAATCATTAAAAACCCACTTCTTCATAAAAGCGTATCAATTAAACTGTTAATAGCTCCTGACTGATTCCTCTCTTGCAGCTGTCATTAGTCTAATACTATCCTTACCGTCTGTGTCACTTTACCCCACTCCCTCTAGCATGTAAGCTCATTGAGCAGGGCCCTCAACCCCTGTGTTCCTGTGTGTTCAACTTGTCTGGTTACAACTACATGTCTGTTTGTCCACCCATTGTAAAGCGCTACGGAATTTGTTGGCGCTTTATAAATAATAACATAATAATAATAACCCTGCAAGTGTAATTATTGCAGTTTATAAAAACTGCAATAATTACACTTGCAGGGTTAAGGGTGATGGGAGTTGACACCCAGACCACTTCAATAGTCCATTTAAGTCCAAATGACACCACACTGAATGTAGAAAATCCATCCTTTGAGTATGGAACCATTTGGACTATAAAAACAGACCTTGTTCACACTATTTAGCAATGTCTGGATTTTGCAATTCTGACCCTGAACATACCTGAAGTTGGTCCAGTTGCCAGACTGCTGAAATCCGGACCAAATGCTGGATTTAAAAAACAACGTGAACTCTTTGCTGCTGGTGGGCAAATAGTTAAAAACCATCAGCTACATAAGGGTTAATAATGTGGCGGTTGGCCAGCACTTTCTTTCTACCCGCTGCATTAACTAGTTAATAAATGTTAAATAGATAAGTAGAAAAAAAAATACACAAACTTGCAACATCCTGACAAAGGGAGAAGAGAGGGATTCGGATTAGTGTGATTCATGCCGAGCAGACTTCGATTTCGGTTTTCTCTATCTGTTGCTCTTGCATAATAATTCCTGGTTTCTGTCATTAATGGACTCGACTCAAACTTAGAAGCTGGTTAAAAGGCTGGATGTGGGGCTAAAGAAACTCCCCTACCTGAGAGGCGCACCCAACAATGCAATCTGACCAAGCTTATAGTCCGTTTATAAGCATGTATTACAGGGGTAGGCAACCTTCTGCACACCAGATATTTTGGACTACATCTACCCTGATGTTTTGCCAGCATTATGGCTGTAGAGATATTCCACACACCACAACCACTTCAGTAATTTGAAGTGGTCATCGAACCAGGAGTCTGTATGTGCCATGCTTTGCTTAAAAATGCTGCATATACAGAGGTTAACTCTGGGCTGGCGCTAATATCAGTCTTGTGCAAAATTGGCACCAGACAGCCTATAGCAGCGAGGTAGCCAATGGTAGCATGCCAACCTCAATGCTGCTTTTGTCCTCCCTCAGTTTGTACTCTCGGACTCTGACACCTTGCCCTACCCTTTTTTGGTGACTGGGGAGGGGGGGTTGACCATCACATGTGGTCACTATAACCACAACCTTTGTTACCTCTAAATGGACATTTCAAACATTATGCACATGTGTATTTATTATTTTTTTGAGTTTTCTAGTTATATTTTAATTACTGTGATTATTTCTTCTTTAATTGGTATAATTGGCCAACAAGCGATGACAAATTAATGTTACATGCACGTGTAATCAAGTTAGGGGAGACACTTGCATTCATTCTGTTTATGGACTAACACTTATAGGGTTATTCACTAAAGTAAGAATTCAAAGTGAATTCAGTACGGTTAGAAAAACTTCCTAAATTATTTATCTACAGAAGTCACAATTAAAGTCTATGGGAATTTTCATAGATAGATTTGGAAATCTTATCAAGGTGTAAGTCAGCTTTGCTTTATGTTCAGCTACTCTAGCCTTAAATTTCAAATTCACCTAGACTTCACTTTGAATTCTCACTTCAGCAAATAACCCAGTTAAAAATATAGGCATTGGTTTTTTGTTATTTCATTTCCTTGAAGAGTTTGAATTTGCTGCTTTATGTGGTCTCATTAAAATGTTTAGATTCATTGGTGGGATTAACATTGCTGAAGCTTGCGTGTTTAACATATGGTATAGAACCCATTTTTCCCAATTCAAAATGTTCAAAAGTGGTGTAAAAACATATTGTAACAGAAGGATGGTGACTTTGTTAACAACTCACCAACAGTTAACATGTTGATACCTATTTTATATTATAGTGTTGACTCTTTGGCAACATATAAAACTAAGGATTGTTGCGTTAAGTAAGATTAATAATATTGCAGGGCATACTAGAAGTTACAGAAAATCTTCAATGTATCTATTTCAGTAAAAAAAAGAAAAAATAATTGCACTGCTTTTTTAAGGAATATAAAATAAAAAAAGTTTAATAAAACAAATTATTTGATGTATGTTCTATGCTTTATAGGATATATATATATAGTTAACCACTATGTCATGAATTCAGATGAAGATTATAAATATTATTACTTTTTTTTTCCAGGAAGCAGTGATCAGTGTGTGGACCCTATTTAGTGATGGATCTGTAACACCCTTGGACATTTATGAGAGCAAGGACTTTTCACTTACGGTGTCTTCACTTGATGAGATGGTGGTATCAACTTATTTGAATCCTTCATCCAACTGGCCAGTTGTGGTTGCTGAAGGAGAAGGCCAAGGACCACTAATTAAGTTAGAGCTAGGTATCAGTGAGATTTGCCAAAAGTCAAAGCGGAAGAGTAGCCTTGCAACAGGGACTGGAACAATTAAAGTGAAGTTTGGGCAAAAAGATTCAGACCAAAAAGGTAACGTGAATGAGATTCACAACACAGATGAAGAGCTTAAAAAACACATGAGTAAAACCACAGAAAAAGTAGCAGAACAAGAAAGGACGGTAAATGAATGGCCCAAGCATGGAACATCAGTAACCAATTTTGAAGATAATGTTAATAAAAATTTAACATCGGATTCCCCTGTAGACTACCAAAAGAATTTTAATGATGGTCATATACATATTATTCCAATAGCATACACCATTTTCCCTACACGAACAGGTTCTTCAGAACATACTAAGGAGAGTGAACTTACACAGACATCTCGAGGGTTAACAGACTTAGAAATTGGCATGTATGCACTTCTTTGTGTATTCTGTCTTGCAATTTTAGTCTTTTTAATTAATTGTGTGGCATTTGCTTGGAAGTATAGGCATAAAAGATTTCCTGTGGCTGATCAGGCCAATATTCCTCACTCTCATGACTGGGTATGGCTTGGAAATGAGGTGGAGTTACTGGAAAACCCGGTAGATATTCCTCTCCCAGCTGAAGAGTGTACCACGATGATTGACCAAAGGTCACAATTTGAAGAAAGCAATTTTCTTCTCAATGGGGGCTCCCAAAAAAATCCATACAGTCAAATTCTTCGACCATCTGATTACACCTATGAAAAAGAAGTCCAAAGTGAGCCATTAAACCCTGGAGGATCCAAAAGGAAAAGAGTAAAATTTACATCCTTTACTACTATCTTACCCGAAGAAGGGGGCCCTTATACTAATGCAGTCATATTTGGAAATGATGAAAATATTAAGTGGGTTTGCCAAGATATGAACCTTGGTGATTCACGGGAACTTAGAGACTACATGGACAGCCTCCAAGACAACTTGTAAAATATTTTCCTATGTTTAAATTCACCTTTATGCCTTCTGGTTTGTTTTTTATTTTATTTTATTTTTGGGTGGCGCTATCCAATCAGCAATAGAGAAGCAGAGCAAGCCCTACATGTCTGAGGCCATTTTAACATATCTGTTTGGTCAACACGTTTTTTGGCTCTGATGTACAAATAAGGAAAAGTATCTCATTAATTTAAATCTTGAGTTGAGGATGTATGATAGCTTCATGGAGGACCTGAAATGTAACCACGTATAAGCTCTACAATATAGGAATACAAGATTAAACACTACCGTATACAGCTGCTACCTTACTTTACCTATGATATGGGATATTGTATAACATAACTTTTGTGTTATAAGGAATAACCATGTTTGTTCAGAGTGACTATAAATCTGCTCTGTTGCTTCGGGTTTCCAATTAAAAGCACAGTGGACTTTTTTCATTATGTGTGCAACGTATCATAACCATACAATCCGAATGTATTAATTTGTTTACATATAGAATGGAAAACAAGACATGTCTATATATACACATACACATACACACACACACACTCTCACATTGCCTCATTTTTTATAGTTGGTATCACTGTATTTGGCACAAAATGATTGATGTTGCAAAAGATCATAATAATAAAAAAAATCTGTATTGGTAGCCTGCAAAGTATTTTGCAAGTAAATCATGTAACCTTCTATTAATACATTGATTTGCGATTAAACAAAATAAATGTATGACCGATACATTATATGACAAAATCTCTCTAGGAATGGTAGAAATTATGAGTGGCAAAAATTAGTTGTGTCCAATGAAATCATTCAGACACTTCTTCTCATAGTACGGAGTTAGTTTTGCATCTCACCAGGTATGATCCAGTACGGTAAAACTCCTAGACATGATTATTAGTTAGGTGTTAGGTATTCAATGTTTATTAATTTGATTGACTTGAAATTACATGTAAAATTGTTCAATTACGTTTACTGTAAATCTTGGAATACATAATGGGTTTTTACTTTAAATTAGAGGACTGAAAGGACAATATAAATATCTTTAAAGTTTACTTTTAATTTTAAATGATATTAAAGGTAGAGATTACCTGGACAGTCTTCCGGTGTAAATGGAGAGTATATTGCATATACGTATAATACCTCCAATGAAGGTATTATATTGGGTGACAGATTTTTATTAAGTTGCATATAACGATGCTATGAAAAAGTATGAAATTGTGAAATAAGCAAAATAGGATAATATGTTATGTGTACCTCACAGTATACATTTATATACAGTGATTCAAAGGTCAGGATTGTTAGCAATGTCTACATTTTCATCAAACATTTAAAGGGTTATTCACTAAATTGTTGGGATTTAAAGTGAATTTTAAGGCCAAAGTATCTGAACTGGAAGCGTAGGCGACTTGAAGCATGTTTTAAGTTCAGCTATTTTGGTTTTAAATTAGAAATTTTAAGAATTGACCTTTACTTCCTGACAATTCTCACTTTAGCAAATAATTCTGTTGGTTTAAATTGATTTGGTCAACATTAACATTTTTATAAATGTAACTCGATTCACCAATCATTTCCTAATATCACTGACATTAATCTTATCTGATGTTAAGCATCTAGAAATGTATGTGAGCGGTACCTTATGTTTGAATCGACATGTTTATCATTTAAAGCAGACCTATTTATGCAGCTAAGTAGGAAGAAGTGTATGCACCCATTAAGTCCTCTTGGGGTTAAGACATGCAAGATTTCAAACGGTGGATTGTGGGATCTTTGAATGTACGTACATATGCTCTTCTTACCTGTGCATTTTAAAAAGTCTTTTGAGTTCAAGACTTTATGCTAGCGAATATATGTGCGTGTAGATTTTAATCTGTTCAGAGCTATATTTTATGCTTCTCAAGCTTGTGAATTGCAAGTTTACATTATGAAAAATAAATTCCCAAAGACACAAATCTCTGGGTTAATATCAATCACTAACATTATTAGTTCTAGCCATGGTTTGTTAATTTCTATAGGTAATGTTATCTCCCTTTGCACTGAGAAATTAAACTGTCCTTATTGTAGCTCTCTTGGATATTGCTTCCTCTAATACTTTTCAAAAGAACACTGACACTCATTATTTCAGGTTTGTCTTTTAGGGAATCACCAATTTAATTTATAAATAACTGCCAGTTTCCTGTGGTAATCTGGCATTTTTCCTAGCTGATGCAACTAAAAAGAAATGCAATCATGTGTACATAATAAATATTCACATTTAATTTGGTTCATAATATCACAGTACATCAGGGGAGTCTACATTTTAAATAAAGCTTGGGTAAAATTTTCTCCAAATTAAAATGAAATTACATTGCCCTAAAGAGAGCTGTTTCAGCTTTATTTATTTATTTTTTGTAAAGGCAGGAAATCTGTTAAAAGTTTTGAGGTTTCTAGTGAAGATCCATATTGTATGCTGAGAAACAAAAATGTTTGTGAATATTGTACTTTTTTCAGAAAAAGTAGCAGTAGAGTCATCACTGCACAGTTTGCCATATCGTAAAAAGATGTTAACCCTATGAGTTATCACTAAACACTGCTTTATAGGTTAATTACGTTATCCTTTTGATAAGGCTATGTTCTCACAGTCTTCTATAAAATGACAGTAGTTGGTAATTAAAAAAAAATAACTTTGTTATTGGAAAATGTACATATTTAAAACATCAAATTTCAAAGGTGTATTTGCTCTGAAGTTTTAGGACAAATTATTTTAGGGTAAATCATTTTAAGTGATTAGAAAAACAATAAATCACAAAATTGCCATTCTTTTAATTGAGCAGATCCTCTTTTGTATTTAACTGATCTCATGAAAAATACAACTAACCAGCATTGGCCCAGCACCATTTGTGGCATGTGAAGGTTTATAGGATGACAGTGCTATGAAAATTGACATTTTTCTTTGAATACGAGAGTTACCAGAATACACAAAGAAATGCATAGATTTTGTAGTACACATGTCCTACAAGCACACGCTGGTTAACAAAAAGCCTTAGGAAACCCCCACCCAACCCTTCATGCAATATATACTTTTTGTCCAATTGTCCAATTTGTCCAGGAAGGACCTTCTTTTAATCTCCTACTCTCACTCATGTGCTGTAGATTAGGGTAAATTACAGAGTTGATTGGCTCTTTACCCCTAATATATATGATCCCTTTATTATCAACAAGATACATAACCTACTGAATTACCGGTTCAGCAGTGCTGAAAAACGCAAACTTTTAATCATCTGTGCCTATATGAGTTCCAACTGAAATTGTGCAGAAGGTTGTCTGAAGGATAGGAGTTCAGATATTAATATTAACTCAAAGTGTGCTCAGGTTTTTAGAAATATTTTCATGGAGTGCTGATTATAGGATCTTTATCTTTAGATTTGTAAATAGACTTCTCTCACAATGCCACATAAAAGGGCACTTCGAAAGAGCTCATATTGTGGGTTACACATTATAGAAAGTAGAAACCTTATAGTGGAACTTGGATAAATATTTTATGTTTCCAAATGTCATGTAGTAAAACAAAAAGCATTTAAAAAAAAAAAAAAAGCAGTTTAATTTTGCTTGGAAGCTGTTTCTATGTATGTTTTGGATTGTTTTACATCTATAAAAACAATGAATCACGACTACATGCTACAAAGCAATGTAAAAGTAATTAGCGGAAATAGATCCAAAGATAATGTTTTTACTTTTTTTAATTAATCTCTAAAACCAATTTAGAATTGTTTTGCTGAAAAGCATCAATCTGAATGTTAAAAATAAATGGGTTTGGGGTGGGGCCGGACCGCTGAGCTGGAAGGTCACAAGCAAGAGCAGCTCCTGCAACACATCAAAGAATAAACTACTAAAATATGTCTTTCCACCTAAAAACAGACCGACAGCGATGGTACCCAGAGCAAAGGGACTACTGGATCCAGGTAGAGGCTGGCTCGTCGAGCTTCAGTCCTCTGGAGGAGAAACTCTCGTTGCCTCAGTTGGGGCCTTCTCCGGCGGTGAGTGGGGCAGACGGACGCTGCCCTGCTATCCTGCATCACAGAACCCAGCCAGAGGCCCAAACCCGTGCGGATCCAGCCCTGTTCCCCCCTATGGACCGGTGGGGGTGATCCTGGTCCTCACCCTGTGGCCCTGACAGTGATATCGCAGTTGGGGCCGGGTGGCCCGAGCACTGCATCCAAGATGACGGGTGGCAGGGGGAAGACCTGCTCCCTCTTTGCGCTTACAGTTAACAACGAGGCTCCTGCCCTCCGACCCTGCAACACAGAGGGACGGAAAAACCCTCACCTACCCCCGCAGCCATCTAAGCCAGCGGCGAGCTGCACGGGCGATTCAAGCAAGCAGGTGACAGCTGCTGCACTGAGGGGATGGAACTCGCGCACCGATCATTCCCGCCAGGAATGACCAAGCCTGCCGCCAAGCGAGATACCCCTGCAAGAGGACCGACCTCATACTCACCTCCCACCCAGCCTGCAACAGAACGACTCAGAAAGCAGTAAGCTCACACGGACAACACCCAGCTCCCTACCATGGCTGACACAAGCCTCCAGATGTCTAAAAGTGACAAGCTCAACATACCACGGCTGCAACCCAAGGGAACCCAGCGAGGAACTCACAGTAAAGCATGGATGGACTATGCTCTGATGCCTGCTCTGATGGACACTCGTTCCCTGCTACACAGACATAGCAAAGCAGGTATCGGATAATCGTGGGATTCCCCCTATCTGTGAGGTCTGGAGACCACCATTATGCTGGCTCCCTCCTACTGAGGCAGCCCAGGTAACCCAGATCAACCAGGGTGATAGCTTCTTTAAAGTGATCTACATAGACCTAGCTTGAATGTTATTTTAGATTTTGTAAGTTTACTAATTTTACATGGCACTCATAAAAATGTCTACTTTAATCTACCTAGCATGTACTATAAACGTTGACTATCTAAGCCTGCCCATATGTAGGCGTTTAACTTCTAATTTGCCTAGTTTGTACTATAAACGTTGAACCTTAACTTACATAATCACCATAGACAGGAAAAGCTTGAAACCTACAATATATTCTGTCTCTACACTGTCTATTCCTAACATCATCATCTACATAAACATTGTGCTCTCTATTCGTATGCCATTTTATGTTTACAATACCTGTTCAATATGCTTGCGATTGCTATTGTGGCTGAGCAAGCCTACTGTTATTACATGCACAACAAAAATAAAGAATATATATATAAAAAAAAATGGGTTTGAGTTGTAAATGGTACAGATATTATCGATCCAACATTGCTTAACAAATGTGAAAGCACAGGTCTGAACTAGACATTGAACAAGGAATGAAAGAAAATAGAGACTTAAAAAATAAATTTAAAGATTTTCTCTAATGTTCATGAGTTTTGGATTCATAAATGCAAATGTGTGCCTCAACAACACATTTTATATTTTTTTCTGTTCTATTCTCTATATGTGGACTACTAACTACTATCTTTGTGTTTATATTAAATTTCTTCCCAGTACAAGGTTGTTTGCTTGTACATCCAATTCTTCCTTATATAGATGTTACTTGCTTGGTGTAGGTCTCCTTTCACCAGCAATTAAACCATCATCATTTTGATACCATAGTCTAATATTGTTTGCACAGTCTGCCAGTACCATACTCACTTTAAGGAGACCTACATCAGGATAGGTCTATATGACTCTGGTAGTGATATTAGGTTTAATCGTGTATCATGTCTTGATTTACTGATTCTGGTCACTAAAGCAGGTTCATAATTAATTTGAGCACAGTTCAGCTTTAAATTGTTGGTCCTTCAACCAAAATGATCGTTGCTAAAAATACTACTTGTTTAACTGTGTTTTAGGATGGCCCTTTAACTGTAAATGGGCATATATTGCAAGTCCTAGCATTGTCATAAGCAAGGGGGCTCATACTTTCTAAACTTTGTAGCTATAGTTCACAAAGTGTATTTCTTGTTTTCTGCAATGATGTCTAGATCATGGACACATATTGCAAGAAAATAAATGATAGATTTGCGACACCAGAATTGGGTTAACCAGGAATTTCTCCAACGTGTGGACTTGGCAATGTTTCAAACCTCTAAGGGGTTTTAAACAGGTCCACTTTTGGTGAATTAATAATTCCTTGTTACCACTATTCTGGATGTAGCCAGATCTTCACCTTTCCAGTGTGCATAAACAGTTATCACCCTCTAGGCCTCCTTCATACTAAGATTGAAAGAAACAGAATTATTTGTTTGCCAATGCCTCTTTCTACAATAGCAGAGAAGCAGAAGCTTAACATTGTCATGAAGCTAGTTCACAATATAGCTGTTATGCACCAATATTGTAGCCATAAACTCTGCTGCTGTCCCCAACTAAATTGTTGACCTGCATGAAGCATGACTACATAAAGACCATTGCATGGCTCTAAGGAACATTCTTAAACTATTCAAATGCATTGGTAATTTCAAAGCCATATTATAAGCACCAAAATAGCTTAACGAAGCAGTTTTGTTATTTAGAAAATGCCCCTACAGTCTCACTGCTAAATTATCTGTTATTAAGGAGCTAAATCACTTTGTTTATTCAGCCCTAGCCACACCTTCCTGCTTGTGACTTACACAACCTTCCTAAACACTTCCTAAAAATAAACTTTATTATAGGTTCCTGTGTTGCACAGACTGTTTAATTTAGAATTTCTTATCTCCTGCACTGTTAATATCCTAGAACCTGCATGATCCTATTAGGTGATTAAAGTTCAATTTACAAAACAAGAGATAAAAAACTTCTAAATAAGTTAATATTAGACTAAAAACTAAACCTTTTTTTTTTCATGCAGGCCTTGTCAGTCACAGCCAGGGAAAGTGTGGCTAGGACTGCAAAACAGAAACAAAAGTGTTATCTTTGCTAAATGTCAGAGAATTGAGCAGTGAGACTGCAGGGGCACTATCTGTGCACCTAAACTGCCTCATTGAGCTACAGTTGTTTGATGCCTATATTATCCCTTTAAAGAATACCTAAATGTGTTTCTTTAAACTAGGACCTAAAATTTATGTACTGTACCCAATCTTCCAAGATCTTATTTATCATAACCATGCTGACAGCACCACAACAACTCCATTCATGCTCAGGTAGAACAAGAGTTCTACTTACTGGCAGCTAATATTGGAAATTCTCTCTTTAGAATGCCTACTTTTATCCTTCTATTTTTATTCTCTTAAAATGGAACCGGGAAAGGGTCACAGTTTTCAGTGAGAAATAAAAAATCCATCACAATCTGGGGACTGGAATGGACAGAGCAACCGACTCTACAAGAGGTAGGAAAACATTACTCCACCCTTTGTCAACCTCAAGCTTGCCCAAAAGACCATGCAGTCCCCACTCTGTTTTATGGTATCTTTGGATTGTGTTGGAATTTCATTGAAATTCCATTGGAGTCAGCAGGAGTATTTCTTAAATATATATCATTATGAACAACTCTGACATGACAGAAATGCTTTAACATGATGCTCATGTACAGTAAATCCAAGTAACTTTCTCTTTACAAAAACTAGTAGGTACATTGCTGAAAACCTTCACCAACCATAGGTGTAATATTTGTGTTTTAAGCAAAAGATGATAGTCTTCTGAGAAGAGTATGCTATGACTTACTAACTTAGAGTTTCACTATTGTAAAAGCTTGAGTTTGTCCTCTGTATGTTTTTACATACTCACCACACCATAACCAATAGAGAGATATAACAAAAAACAAGAAAAGCAAAATATATATATGTTTTCCTTATCCTTTTTTAAAATCAAAATCCTAGTACAATGACCAGGGGACACTGAAATGCTCTGGGGCCTTTTGAATGTGCATATCAAGCACTTATTCTTGGCATATTTTTTTAATTCAGTTTTAACTACAAGTCACTGATTAGTAAATAAATCCTTTAAAATGTGTTACCCACATTCAGCAAATGCCCTGTAAGTATCGGTATCAAGTAACCTGAGGTTTATCACTTAGGAATAAATGAAATAATTCAATCACAAGACAGAATGGGTAATTTAAGCAGCACCAACAGATTTCAACCAAAATCTTTACACAAAGGCCTTGATTTAATATGTTTCCAAATACTTAAATATAATTAGAAAAGTTTTTAAGAAATTTATCTACACAAGTCGCCATTAAAGTCTATGGAATTTTTTTGTAGTTAAATCATTTGGCATTTTTTCCAACAATATTAAATCATTTAGAAAGCTTGTTAAATCGAAGCCTAAGTAAGTTAAAAAAAATATTCAATGCATTCTGTGCCAATAAAACCTAGGGAAAAATAATAGATGGGGCTGGGCTAACAACTGCAAAGACAGCACTTGTCTAACATACTTTATATTTTAATGCACTGCACAGTGTAAACCACATTCAACTCAATATTTTTTTTATTTATGTGCAACATTTTGTATCTGTAAACTTGATCAGGATTCTTTTAATTTAATACAAGTTAAATATCTAAAAAATAAAATAAAAACAGAAATAGTACTTCCGTTTCTCCATAAACCTAGAATGTGCTCCTAATTGAAGGTATACAGTTTGCTTTTGGTAAAAGTGAAGAAAATGCAAAGAACATATCGTGTTTGCATCTATTGATGCAGTCATTGAGTTAATTCTCTCTTGACTGAATAGTTTAGGAAGCCTGTCAAATGATGCACTGATTTAGGAACATAACATATAGAAAAAGCTATTGCAAAGGGAGACACATCATTGTTTAATATATAGATGTTATCAAGAAATCGAGCCATGAGCCAGGCTGGAAGCTTTGCGTTATTTAAGAATAGTGATGTCGCGAACCTTCAACATGGATGCTGTCCAGGAGGTGGGAGGGTCTGGGAGGGAGAGTCTGCTGAGATTGGCCAGGATGTGTCAGCTGACCGGAGTTTGCCACGAACGGTTCGCGACATCACTATTTAAGAAGTGTAAATCCATCTATGTCTTAGACTTTATGCACACACTGTATACAGATTGTCCCAGCATGCTTCAACATGAGACAGCTTGTGTGTCATTCCTGTCACAGGCAGACAGATGATCACATTTGTTGTTCCTTTAGCTTTCTACATGTTTACCTGTCCGTATGTGGAAACTGCCATTAGTTTATGAAAACATGCAAAATAACAGTAAAAAAAGCATGTGATAATTCAATTTCCTAAACAAACATGTCTTAGTTCCAGTTAGTATACTCTTAGCATTACTCTTTCCAAGACATTTTTAAATGTTCTAACTGTTCTTACTGCTTAATGCTTTTAGTTGAAACGTCTAATGGTGTAATAGGAACGAATGTTTGGACACTATGTTTTTAGCAAATGTCTTTATCCCACATAAAAATATAGGCACAGATGATTAAAAGTTTGTGTTTTTCACTTTTCATTACTGTTCTAAACAAAAATAATGCTTAGAGGGAACGTTACTGGAAGGCCTATCCCTGCCTCCTCTACCCTTCTGCTAATTATTAAAATCTTTTTTTTTTATTTACTATCAAAAGGTCAGAGATGTAGGTAAATGTTGGCTTCACAGTTGAACTGCACACCGAGACACTCAAATAGTTAATCAATGATATCTGTGGTGCCTTATTGCTGAGCTTTGCCTAATTAAATATTATGTTACATCTGCACCCTGCTACTCTAAAGCAGTGAGTCACAGAATCATTTCTCAAATGAAAAGTTAAAAAGACAATGGAGATGTGTTTAAATCCTGCCACGCTGGATCATTTGGAATAATATATCATGATTTTGTGTGCTAAGCATTGCCATTGAATTGTGCGGGCTATGAGTCAGTACTGAGCATATTATTTATCAGCCATTCTTTGAAACAGATCCCTGATGAAATGACGTCCATGGTCAGATCAGGACATGTAAACATTTAGAAAATATGCAGGAAACCAGATGATGGGTTGGGCATTGAAATGGGCCACAAGTATCAATTCCTTCAACTAATAGAGTTACTGTTGTGCAAAAAAATTGAAGACAAGTACAGTATATTACATCTGCAGAGGCAAGTTGATATTTGATTTCATTTTACTCCACAATTATAGATCCAGTTATTAAATGACTTTTAAGCAAAATAAGCTCAGGGATGTATTTCAAATGTATCTGCACATTGTATAAGGTAGTACCTACCTAATGTACCTACTGTAATATAAAGACTATATTAAATATGGATAATTCTAAAAATGACAGACACATTTATTACCTTTATTAAAATCTGTAGATACCCATGCTTCTTGTTTTTGCCTTTCCAATATTGCCATATGCAACTGGGGAGAGAAAATTGCACTGTCTATGTCTTCCCAGCCCTTCTCCTGGCATATCAGTAATGGTAGAGAATACATGAATGCAGTATTTGCAAACGGCACATGCTATCTTGGGGAATAACTTCTGCGAATCTTGAAGAAGTGGAGAACATTTATGGCCCAGTGCAGCTCTAACACGTCAAGGACAAATGCCCCTGTATTACACAGGGTAATTTGCATTGTGCATTAGGTTTTTAAAGTATAATATGATGTCAAGATTAGAAAACCCGATTTGCTCTTTGTAACTCTCTATTTATAGACACACTATAGTCATCAAAACTTTTTTTTCTTAATGAAACAGTGTTGCTGTATAGATCATGCCCCTGCAGTTTCATTGCTCAATTATCTGCCATTTACGCGTTAAATCACTTTGTTTATGCAGTCCTAGTCACACCTCCCCTGCATGCTACTACAGCCTTTCTAAACACTTCATGTAAAGAGAGATATAATAGTTAAACTACCTTTATTGCACATTTTGTTTAATTTAGAATGTATCTCATAATTTAAATTTACCTCATGCTCTATTGATAGTCTTCTAGAACCTGCAGGAGTAAAAGTGATTTAACTTTTACATGTCAGAGAATTGGGCAGTGAGACTACAGGGACATGAGCCATACACAAAAACTGTTTCATTAGGCTATAGTTGTTTTGATGCCTATGTCACCCCTTTAAATAGTAACATGTTTTTCAATCTTAAATTATGACTCAATAATGATTGCAATAATGGTATGTTTTTAAAAATTATGAAGACTAATTTATTTTGCACTATTATTTCCCATTAAATCCATGAAATAATTTATCTAAAAGAAGCCTGTTCAATACTCTGGGTTTTAATATCCTACATGGTGGAATGTCCCATGTATATCATAAAGATAATAATATTTAAGAATTTATATTGATACAAATTGTATTTTAAAAGATGTGTTGTCCCATCAGAACTGCATTCCTAACCATTGAGAACTTTGAATGCCAAGTGACATATCGCAGTTACCCCATATTGTCTAAACTAGGTTATATTTACTAACATCTTAAGGACTTCTAGACCGTACATGTTGGCTTGTGTAGAATATTTATTAGAATATTTTTAACATGCCAATACACTGTTTTAATAGGGTTACTAGTGGGGTGTATATCCATATTATAACACAATCAAATTATTAATTTAAAATCAACTAAAATTTTTATTGTACAAAATGAATTATTCCCTTAAACAATTTATATTTTCTATATAGATTATTTTGTTTTTATTCTTTTCTTTATATATATATATATATATATATATATATATATATATATACAAAATAAATAAATATATATATATATATATATATATATATATATATATATATTGCAGCTCCCATTTTAGGTATATATTTCTCCCCAATTAACATTGACATCAATATTATGTAAATGTCCCTTGGATGCATGCACGTCTTATTTGAATTAATATTAGTAAATGTAATTCAAAGGCATATCAAATCAGGGTAAACTGGGCAATGGTCCCTCATGAAGTTAGACACCAACTCAAGAAACGCCTACTAATAACTTTGTTTGACGAGTTTCCCCCTGAGTTGAGTTCTGGAAGCGACTCTCTATCAAAGGCCTAGATTTAATAAACTTTCCAAATGATTTAATACTATTAGACTTTACAAATTATTTATCTACAGTCACCATTAAGTCACCATTAACGTCTATGGATTTTTTTGATAGTTTTCATAACAGTATCAAATAATTTGGAAAGATTATTAAATAAGGCCAGTTACAGAATGGGTCAGGGTAACTGGAATCTGTTGTGAGATTGGAAGATTTACCTTGAACACATCTCTGCATTTTATTGTCTGTGCAAAAAGTTTAACTATGACGTAGTTATGACACAGTGAAAAAATGAAATAAAGTTGTTTTTCCACCAGCTTGACAGTTCTTCAATAGAAAATATTTTAAACTCCCACCATCTTCAGCTACATATTTGGCTTGGGTGAACTTCTGGAAGGTGTAATTTATAATAGTAGGTGTGCAAGGGATTATTTATAATTCAACAGATTATCTAAAAGTGTTTTTTAATGCATTATTAGAAAAAATACCCACCCTTTGACTCAGGTGATTTTTCTGCATTGTATGTTCGGTAAATGAAATATTTATTTGTAAATATTATATATATATATTGTACAGTGTTACTGTCCAAGCTTTATCTGTTTGATTATAAAGTCCCTTAGTTGAACATAGAAAACATGTTTAATTAAGGTTCATGTCCCTTGAATTTGACACTGGATACGTTAGTATTTTTCTATTATTATTTTTGCAATTTTAAAAGGGCATCTGCATTTATTAACACCATTCAACTGCTAATTAACAAACACCATTTTTCTTTTGCCACTTTCAGACAATACCTGATAATCCTTCTCTACAAGACTGTTTTTAAGTTTTTACATTTCTACAATGTTATTGTTTAAAATAATAATACAGGAGTTTATTTAATCCATTGAACATAGTGCATTTGTAAAATGTGTAAAATTGTTATACAGTGTTTTGTTTTCAAAGAAATATGCTACCAGCTGGGATTCTGGTAGAAATGTTTAAAAATGCTATATTTTTTTGCTAGAGGACTTTGAAAACAACATATACAGACACAAAATAATAAGTCACCCTTGAAATAATTTTTTGTGAATTTTAATGGAGATACCAAGTCAAGAGACAAGATGAACAGAATAAAATATAGTTCCTCTGAAAATTCTTTCTATAAACTATGTAGCATGACAACAATGAGTAAAAAGGATTCTGGGATTTTTTTTATTGACACTTGACCTTATAGTCCTATTTACAGACTTGCAGAGGCTTGGTCTGTAAACATAATGCTAATGGAACTTCTTCATCAACATTGACCTGTCTATGTCACATAACAAAAGGCACATCCTGACATCTGGTGATCATTTTCAGTGTACAGTATATTAAATGTGTATATCCTGTATTTTATGGAACAATAAAGTGATCAAGTATAACTTATGGAAGGATCAGTTTGATGGCTTGCGTATTTATTTCATCGCTGATGAATGCCGAACCACAAAAAAGTGATTTAAAGTAAGTGGCGGTATGTGTTACTAAGAATCCTCATTTAATGACAGGTATTTTTGTCCAAATCTTAATTCCTATATCACTCTGTAAAAATACACAGTAATTTACTTGTCACTATATGGCAGCAGGAATATGATTCTCTTTAAGTTATTTAGAATTAACCAAGCAGCATGCTGTTAGAAATATATAGTTTTCCTCAGTGAACAAAGAATTGGAACTGTGTTATGATCTATCTTTTCACATTTTCTTTATGTGCATTTTAGAACATTCAACATTCAGGCAGAAAACACTGTAAAAAGAAAGATGTGTAGCTAAGTAATGATGGTATTAATTAGATATATTATACTGAAAATAAGGTGCGTTGCTGGGGGAAGGGTCTGCAGCCCTGAATGTGTGCTCTGTAGCCCAAAATATTATTGCCGGCCACTATCCTTAGATAGGAGTCCACCGGGAGCAGTGCAGTGGTAGAAATACAGGGAATATGACATTTTATCATGGTCTCTGTGTATCTCTGTGACTGTGCTGCTTCTGCAGTCAGCTGAAACCAACAAAGGAGACCAAGTAGAGATAGCACAGAGCAGCCAGGCAGAGGCATGTGGGTAATGTGTGTGTATATATATATATATATTACAGTGAAGAGCAGGGTGTCCCTGAAACAGATACCGGCTGGATATTTCCCTACTTTTACCACCCACTGCATGATGACAACCTTCAAGGAGCAGTGAAGGAAGCCAGTATCCCTTTTTATGGTGTATGCTTTTGTGTGCTATAGAGGTGCTACATGATATTATTATCATTATTATTATTAGGAATGGTTCTGGAATAGTTTAATATAATTAAAATGTACTGTTCCTTTCCACAAAACACAAATAGATTTAACTATAGTTATAGAAATCCAAGTACTTTTTCAATCCTACAGATGGCAATGGGTATGTACACAATAAGAGTTGGCCATCCGTAAAGCAAAAGGACAATGCATGAAGTTGAGGAGAAATTGATCTAAACTCTCTGATAACCAGTTGCAGTTTCAAATAATTAGAAATAAATTCATTGATAAAAAATAAAACTGAAACCTCATACAACACAAAAGTTTTAACCAAATATTAACCCTTTTACAAGATATAGTGTTGGAAAAAAAAAAATTACAGAATCAACCCCATGCAATTTTTCAATGAGATAATAATCTGAAGAACATGATTTCCCTTAGTGCTGCCTCTAGAAAGTAGCAAAAAGAAACTCATAAGACTGATATTGGTTTAAGGAAATGCGATAATTGTAAGATGTCTTGCTTCTTACTGAAAAGTATATATAAAGCACAACCTCATACAGTCACCACAAGACCAAACTATCCCACATTGCACCTCCAAATGGGTGAAGGAGATACCAATCTCCCTCTCAGTGGAGCAAAGTAAAAAAATATTTCTCCAGGCACATAAATCCACCACGAATCTGACTACACAAGAAAGCAACTTCAAACGCATAACAAGGTGGCACTATACACCAGCGCAAATTCATAAACACTATCCTCAATCAAACAACCTCTGCTGTTGCTGCCGACACCCTGACGCACACACCTCGCATATATGGTGGCAATGCCCCCTGATTTCCAACTTCTGGAAAGGCATACACACCAATCCAATCCATTACTAACACTCATTTCCCAAATACCCTGGAAAGAATGATGTTTCTCCTTATGCCCCCATCTGTGCCAAAAAGTAAAATGCTCTTGGTAATACTCCTACTCACAGCAGCACATCAACTCATCCCCGCTCAATGGAAACAAGCAGATCCTCCGTCCATAATCGAGTGGTTCCAAAGGGTGGAATCCATACGAGTGATGGAAGAAATACATATGCAGTTTCCAAAAAATATACTAAATACACAGAAATTTGGGGACCCTGGTTGTACTTTATGCGCTCCGCAAATGAAGTAAGCACTCCTGATGCCTAACCCGGTCAACCCCTCCCCTCCCCCTCTATCTATAATCTCTCTTGGGGAATACCCTAAGGCACATAGGGTATAATTGCCACAGAAAATAGCAGTACAAACACCAAGATGTCATAGACACTAGACCACTAGTATAGGATGATGACTATAAGGCTCAGATTCATGGTCATATTGTTGATATTTATGACAATGTTATTCTACAGGAAACTTTCCAAAGGTCTCCAACTTCTCTATAAGTATTGCTGTTACTGTTCAATAATGTATTCTGCGACAAATGTTCATATGTCATGAATCACAAATAGCAATGTACCATTAAAATACATACACATCTAATGATTCTAAAAAGAAAGATAAAATAATATAGTGCAATATTGCCAGTATAAATAACGTACAGATATTGTGCATATCAAGTACTCACAAGCCTGGAGCCAAATGATAACATACGGCTCTCATGGGTAATGCAGAGGGACTCTTAGTAGGATGTCCCCATCCTTCTATTAGATAGTCCTTATGTGGTCTTTAGAGTTTCTGGAGTAAGGGTGAGATGGAAAGCTTGGCTCCCGTAAAAAAAACTTTATTTGATAAAATAAAATAAACAAAGTGCATTGTGTGCAGTATAATAAAATATAAATAAATGAAATGAAAAAAAAATTCAAATAAGTCTTAATAAGTCCAATATGGGTACTGCCAATACAGACATCATGCATTCTATTTCCGGGTCACGTGACCTGTGCCGATTAGGGCGCATGGTTGGCTTCACTGGAACGCATGCAGTGTGACGTGTGCATTCCATTGGGAGGATTTTGTCTTATATTAGGAGTATATACAAATTTATACTTAGTACCTTCAGTGCACGTTTTGACTAACAATATTCTATTAAATTAGATAATACTGTATTAAATAAAAAACAACTATGCAATAAATTACCATATGCATTAAGTGGGTAGGAATGTTGCTCCTGAATTTAAAAGAACCATATATATTTTTTAAAACAGCTCTAGGTTGTAGTACACTTAATAAGTAAATTTCTATTAAAATATTACACAAAAAAATGTAAGAACATTACATAATACATCTCCTAGTATAGAGATAATAAAATATAAATACAGCGGAGATGAATGATTATATAATTCACCATCTAAGCAATGTATCAAACACCTATTCCAATACCATAATGTGAGAAAGTGAATAAAAAATAACAAATAAATAAATCTTTAAAATATCTAGTATTTAATTTGTATTAAGGGATCAGACTTTATATGCTCTTGAGTATAGATTTAAGATCTTGGTAAGAAAAAATGGCAGACCTCAAACTCTGAGTTTAAGCCATGGGGGATAAGGGTATTAAAGTTCAAAATAAATTTAATTTCTTCTGCTGCTATTTTTCGATTGTAATCTCCTCCTCTCCAGTCTTTCTTAACTAACTTCAGAGTGCAGAATAAGAGATTCTCTGGATGTTGATTGTGATGGATCTTAAAATGGTTGGAGACACTATGGGTCTCCAATCCTTTTTTAATATTTCTTAATTGCTCCGATATTCTGATGTTTACACATCTGATGGTCCTTCCAATATATGATAAATTACAGGGGCATTTCAATATATAAATCACCCCTTTCAAGAAACATATAAGTTGATCCCTGATGGTATAATCTATATTGATATGTTCTTTAATATTATACTACAGGGTCGTTGAATGCTTCAATCTGATTGGTTGACGAATGTTCTAAGCTGTGCATTATTTTCAGGGAGACGCATGGCTAAAGTAGTTCCAGACAGCTCTTGACCGCATTACAGTTGTGTAAGAAATTAGTCCTACATACAAGAGCGTTTTAATGACAAAAAAACTTTACAAACGTCTTGAAATACATCATCTGAACAATGTTTTGAGGTGTGGTAACTGTAGTATAAGCGGAATAATTGACTCCAGGCCGTTGAATTATTAGAAAAAAATAATGCACACCCGAGGTGTAACGGCCACTCTGCTTCGCGTCGTGACCGCATTACCACCTCAGGTGTGCATTATTTTTCAAATAATTCAACGGACTGTCGTCAATTATTCCTTACTTAATTAGTTGTCTTTTTTTACTTTTGGTTGACCTACATGCTAAGCATGTCCCACAGCCATAAAAGCCATTCTTCTGATTCAAAAAGTGTCTTGTGATTTGTGGGCCCTCACTGCTACAGACTAAAGATCTCTTAAGATTGTCAGTACCTCTATAAATAATTTTTGGTTGTGTGGGTAAAAGATTTTTAAGAATTGAGCCACCTTGTAAAATATGCCAATTTTTTTTATTGCCCTATTTACTTTTCTATTATTACCATTAAAATTACATATAAAGGATGCCTCATTTGTGCTTATTCTCTTGGTACTTCTTTGTTTATAGAACAATAATTGTTCTCCTGGAATATTTCTCACTTCTTCCATTGCTGTTGTTAGTTTGGTCTCTTTGTAACCTTTTTCCAGAAATTGATCTTTTATTTTCTTTGCCTGACTTATATAATCCTGTTCATTTGAGCAATTGCGTCTAATTCTTAAAAATTTACTTTCGGGTGCGTTATTAAGCCAGGGTTTATGGTGACAACTGTTCTTTTCAATATACCCATTAGCACCTACTGGTTTAAAAACATTTCTTGTTTTTATTTGTTCATCTTGTATAAAAATATGAAGGTCTAAAAAATTAATATCTGTTTGGCTATGTGTTGTAGTAAGGATAATACCCCAATTGATCTTGTTTAAAAAAGACAGGAACAGCTCTAAAAAGTCAATAGGGCCATTCCAAATAAAAATAATGCTATATAGGGATGTAACGTCACTGGTGACTAAATGTTTTCCCCCCACCCCATCTGGTCGTCTCTAGGAGTTGTAATATATGGATGGTACCTTTAAGATGGGCTGGATTTTTCACTACTATGGGCTATGATAGAGTGTCAATGTATTCGGAGACTCTGGAGGAAATAGAATCTATGCCTGATATAATATGGCGGCCTGGTGGATTTAGCACATTTTTGTGTACTTTGAGAAGATAATAAAACACTGGAATCTTAAGATGTATAATAGACAGGTATTTTCCTTCCTTCTCTGTTAGTATTCCCTTATCTAGGCCTTTTTGGATGAATTTCTCAAATTGTTATTTAACTCTACTTGTGGGATTGGATTCTTGTATATATTTAATTTTTGAGAGGACTACTACTACTCCCCCTTTATCTTTTATAACTAGATTTTCATTTTTTTGCAACTTTTTCAAGACATATTTTTCTTGTAAGGACATGTTGTGTTGAAATGTATTTAATTTTTAAAATTTATTTATTTCTCCCATAACCATGGTCTCAAAAGCTTTCAGTTCATCAGAGATCATATTTTTAAGAAAAAAAATAGAGTTCTCTTTTAATTGTGTATGTATATACTCAAGATCCTGTGCTATTGGTTCCTCCTTATTATGGAAGAACTTTTTTAAACACAAGGGTGATAGACATGATATAAGCCAGGTTGTTTTAATGTTGTTGCTGATCAGCGTACATGTATAAACACCCTTATTTTAATTTCCTTTTTTTTTTTTTTACTTTTCAGTAACTTTTTAACTTTGTCCTTGTTTTTATTTTCATATTTATTTTTCTATTACTATTATTATTATCATTATTATTATTATTATTATTTTTATTTTCACCTGTTTATTTTTAGCCTTTTTTATCTATCTATCTATATATACAAACATACAAAATTAAGTCTTTTGCTCAAACTCTTACTACTCCTGGGCAGCAGCAATGATTATATGCTCATACTGCTTGTTTTACGTTATGTAAAATAAGTTGGTCAATGATTTTATTTTATTGGTGTCCTGCACTATCTACTACATGTATTAATTGAGAAAGAGAATCTGTGAGAAAAAGGGAAGGGCAAGATAAAGATAGAGGAAGAATGAGTAGGACAATTAAAGGGACCAAACAGCTGTTTTTGGCCATCCAATTAAATATATCCGCAGCTATGACAAAAAATGAGTATGTCGATGGAGTTTTGACCCAAAATGGATCGTATCACTCTATCCAAAGAGAATCCTAAACTATTTGTCAAGAAAGTGAGGGAGTTAGGTGTTTGTGGGCAAATGAATAGGAGAATATCAAACGATAAAGTCTTATCTTTACAGTCCTTGAGAGCAGGTGCTTTGTTAATTTATACCAAATATACATTGGTTTTAACACTGGTCTTATCTTGAAAAACATGCTGCCACATCACTTACAGGGGATGTGTCTATGCTAGCGACTGCCACAAGATTCCATATTGTAGTGTTTACTTTGGTAGACAAAGGAAGCCAACATTTAAAAAAAATAAAAAAATAAACAGTGAATTGACTAGCACACTTTATACATGCGATAATATTCAGTGTAAAAAAGGGTAATTGGCGGCACACCCTGAACACACATTTTTCAGCAATGGTATGACCATATAGGCCAAAATGTATACAAAATACATATTAAGGAACAGCATGCACAAAAATACACAAACATGGGGATTCATTTCCACCATATGGCCATATTGTACCCACCACTACACCATACCACTACACCACAGTACCCCAATAGCAGTGGGTCCTACACTAAGTTTAATGCCTCAGACAAATCTGTTGTAAGAGCTTTGCAAATATATATAATGCAAAATCAATGTGATAAACACAATAAAAAAAATACAGCGTCAAAACTAATAGTGCGTTGATGTACATTCTCACCATGCATACCATATATCTGCTCTGTAGCAAATGAAAATCAATATTATTAAATATTATTCCCTGTAAAGTTATTAGGAACAGAAAACTACCAGTGACTTTCTACTACCGAACATTTATTTCCACATCATATTTCACTGATATATAAGAGTATATTGCTTAGACTTTGTATAGACTGTCTGACTTATTGAAGCAATTTGAAGTCATTGCACTTAAACAATGAATGCATTGCCTGAATGGACCTTGGAACATTCCGAAACAGAGAAAATAGAAAAGGAGAGCACACAAAGGCTCAAAGCTGAGATTTGAAAAATGTTCTAGTTTCTTTGGGATTTAAAAAAAATAATCAGTTTTAACAGAAACATCTTCTAAAACTTCATCAATTCACAACTTTTACTGGATAAAAATGCAATTAAAGAAATTCAGAGGTGATTTACTGTTTAAACTTCTTAAATAACAAGATGTAAGTCAAACATGCAAACAGTAATGTAAAATGACATGACTATGTCTAGAAGTTAACTAACCATTTAATATGCCCTGTGTATCATCAGGTCATTTAGAAGACGCCAGCTTGCTATTGGGTACTTTTTTATAACCTGTTGCAGGCAAAGGGTCAGCAATCGAATTTTGCAAAGGCAATGGCTTTTTCAAACAGAATTGTGCCGTGTATCGTGAACATCAGATGATATCTTGTGCTTCCCTTTTTCTTGCACCATTTTGCTCTTTGACCATTAATTAATTTAGTAGATAGTGCAGGATGCCAATAAAGTAAAAACATTGACCAAATTATTTTACATAACTTAACACAATCAGTATAAGCACCCTTCCTGATAGAATCTTCCTTATGTATTCCGTCACACAGAGTAACTTCTTCAAGTAATGCAACATTAGCTCCCCAAGTCACAGCTCTGTACGAGACAGTTATTGAAAATGCATAGTTCAGTCACAGATAGATATATCAGAAGTAGAAGTTAGTGTAGAACAGTAAAAAACAGGCTGGCATATGATGTTGTCTTACAAAATGTTTTTGAAAATTTATTTTTATATGAAAATTAAATGGTTAACAAAAGAGGGTTTCAGTCTCATATCCAACTATGCATTTCATTCTGTTTACTAGGACTCAACATTTTTTTAAGAATCCCCTGGCTGACATGACTACGGATGCTTATCCAGGGGAATATAGGAGAAGATATGAGCACGTAGGGTTCTCTCTGTTTGGAACCCCACTCTTTATCTCTTGTCTTAGGAGGCTACCATCTTTATGATATTATGCATGCCTACATGGATCCCTTTGAACAACTTAAAAAACTAAATATCTCTCTTTTTAATCACATATATAATGCTCATTTTTTCTACATTTTCATATTGATGTAATTTAAATGTTTGTTAATACATGTTTTATTATCTTGTAGACAACTGCCTTTGTCACAAATTTTTAAACATTTAGACTTGCTTGAAGGATTGCCACATTTAAAATGGTACCTACTGTACCATTACTGTCTGCCTACGGTAATGTCTCTCTGACACTTGATCCTGACAGTCACTAGAGAGAGGTTCTGCAGTAAGCACTGCGTCTGGGTTCTTGACAGATAGAAGCATTTGATGCATTGTGATGATTGGAGCGCATATCTCAGAAGATGATTGTCACGGCAAGTGTGCATAATTTATTATTGCACTATGGAATATTGTTCTTTAATATAACCTGTGTAGTGTGACCCCCGGGTAGAAGACAAATAGCAGAGAGGAATTGCTCTTTTGATCAAAAGGGGCTTATGCAAGGTGTGAAAAGGAATGCCCTTTTTGATCTACCAAAGGCCCTGCAAGGTGAGACATTTTACACCTGAGTCGCCTATATGTCTAGTTTCAATGTAAACTAACTGACTTTGACCATATGGCTTGAAACTATCAATGGATGGTTCAATCATTTGATATGGTAATGGTATTAGTTTCATGAAGACCAGTATGTTCTAGTATCAGATCCAAGAGAAACATTAATACTTATCCACATATTAATAATTACGCCTCATTTTTATTATATTTAGAATGGAACAAGCACAACCTTTTAATCAAGTCTAAACACCACTTATACAATTTAAACCGGGTGGCAGTGGTTGGGATGTTTGCTATATTAGGTCACACGTAAGTCATGTGCTATATCCCTGGAATGGGAAAATGGTAACAAATTCATAGAGGCAATTATTACTTCTGTGGCAAGTACAGTAGAGGAGATAAAACCAAAAGTTTATATTTGGCTTGTTGTTTTCTGGAACACAAGGGAGTGGCTACTTATTGTGTCTATAGCTACTCCTTATCTCTGCCTCTGGGAAGACTGAGAATTTGAGATGAATCTAAAGGTTATATAATAAGTGATATTGAAAGATCTTGGTGTACTTGTTTGGTGCCAAGATCTAATTTGAGTGAGTAACCATCATCCTTCCTTGCCAGAGACCCCCTGGGCAGAAGTTGTACTTTGAAAACCCAAGTGAGCAATTAGGACTTCTGTATTTTATCCTTTTTGTTTTTATCTGTTGTTGGTGTGAATAATTTGTTTATCATATATTTTCATATTTACTGTGACTATTTTTTGCTCATAATAAACATTCATTTACTAAGTTCTGCCTTTGCCTGGTTAAAAACCACGTTACTTGAGACAAATTAATATTTTTGCAATTCCTTAAATATTGTGCTAAGTAATATTTAGTGGGTTTTATTATTGATTTACCTGGGGGACCAAGGCAACCCAGGTATAAATTGTCCTGGTGGTGGCACGGTTAAAATAGTAATAGTTATATTATTATGTTTAGGTGTGGGTGGTTTTAAAAGGGGGATTTTGTCATTATTTCCGGTCTAGTGCAGACAAATAGTGAACCTTAACCCTTTCACCACCACAATTACATCACGTACACTTTTGGAGTAGGGTGCCTTCGTGACAATGAAATCTTGGTGTTGGATTGCAAGTAAATATTGGGTAATTTAACCATTTTTCAACCAAAATGTCCACTCTGAAATCTAAACAGCACAACTAACACTAGGGCTAACAGTTAAAAATTGCATGACCCCCCCATAGAGTTCTTTTAAACATTCAAGCCTGATCACGGTAATTCTGTAAGCAGCATGCACTCTGTGCTTATTTCGGGAGCACTATTCTTTGTAAATGAGGAAATTGTTGGGCATGCACATCCACATTTGAATGTCTTAGATGACAGTTACCAGTCATAAAGAAAACATAACTAATTATCCTTTCCTTATATTTTGCATTTACAGTTGCACATTAGTTAAATACTTTTACATAGTGAGAAAGAAAGGCAATGCCAAGGGCCCATCAGCCATACTTAGAATTAATCACGTTTATGAATATATGGGCGTTAGTGAAAAAAAAAAGCAACAAAAGTGAGGCAAGTTAGATTAAAAGAGAAATTACATTCAGCCCTTATACAATGACATCAGAGGTGAGGCTGCTCTCCCTGATACAATATTACAAGAACACAACCATTCTGGTCTATTTTCATGATAGGAATCAACAAAGGTGCATTCTTACTATGTTATCTGAGTACATAGCACATATTGGGTTCCTCTGCCCCTGTGAATGACAAGTATTCTTCTCTCATTTTAATAACATACAGCATTTCTAAGACCTTAAATCAAAAGAACATTAAAATAACTTTTGAATTGTCAAAAAAGTGTTCTGTTTATTTTTGCACTGCAGCAAAAGTGCTTAAGAATAAAATATAGTAAAAGTTGAAAGAAAGAAAGTTGTGTACCTTCACCATAAATGCATTGCAAATTGTTCTATGAATAAAACTGTCAGTTTCATGTTAAATATAGCTTTTCTCTTTTATACTGTAAAAGTAATTCTGTAATCAGAAACACTTTAAAAAAAAAAGCTATGATTCACTACAAGAGAATGTTGGATATTTTACATAACAAGTAGGAATGTTTTCTAATAGATATAATGTCCTAATTGTCCCTTATAGACAACATGTTTTATAAGTTATTATGTATACTGTAGATGGATTAGATTTGCTAGTTGTGCAGGAGTGTTACAATTCAAAATGCAACTTTTATATATTTAATTATATTTTAGAATATTATTACTACTTGATACAAAGAGATGCAAGATCAGATGAACAAACATTTAATCTATAATCAATTACAGAAAATTCACGGATTGCGAGTAATTAAAACTTTTTAATATATAGAACAGTTAAATGACCATGACATTATTCAAAAACACAAGATTTGGTAAATAAATACAATAAAATCACGACAACCAAAGTATTGTGCATTCATTTGCAAGGTAAGTAGAAGACAATAAAAGGACAAAGGAAAGAAAAGTGAAAAGGCAAAAACCAAACAAACAAAAACAACAAAATAGATTCAGAGTAAAGTGGGAGATGTAAACAGAGGGGACACTTCTGCTCTTTTAAGAGGAAATGTCCCAATCCATTTAAAGATGAACTGTCCCTCACAGAGAAGGGACAGTCACTTGTTCCTTCAACCTAGTAAATGTTATTTCAGCATTTACTAGAGGGGACAATGCAGCAGAGGTATGTAAAAATGTACCTCTGCTGGATTTCGACTTTGTGGCATCTCTTCAATCTCGTGATGCACAAACGAGCTTTTGAGTATGTAACTGAGATTATATATGTGCACAAGTGCACTTAGATTCTTCTCCAGTAGTAGCATTTACACAAATGTGCAATGCATATGTATGGCATACTGCAAGAGTTACATAATTTACATACTTGGCTTTGGCTGGCAAATCATTTACGTAAAAATGGGGAGGTGGAGCTAACCGCGGACCTGTATGGACGCTTGAATACTGAACTCCGGGAGCACAAGCGGACAATCCTTCAACATCAGGCACATCAAACACCATGGGGCACCCCAAAAGATCCTGGTCAACCCCCGACATGTCAAGCAAACAGACGGGTGGCAAATCAGGGGCCTTGACATAGTATTTTAAGGACATGGCCAATCAGAAAACCAAAGCACCAGGCCACAACATGGCACCGGAGTCCCCCTTGGGCACATTCCCACCATCCAGCCCAGCTAACTCCGACGGCTCGTTGTCGATCATGGATCAAGATCTTAGGGTGGTGCTCGCAAACTTACCTTCCAAGTAAGACCTGGCTACTATGCTTCGCAAACTGGAGGTGTCGTTCCAAGATAAGATGGACGCTATAGCCGCAGACATCAATCACGTGGGAGACAGAATCAACACGTTGGAAGATGATCGGGACTTTACCCAATCTCAAGTCCATCATATACAGAGTGCAGTTGAAGCCCAGAATGTGCAGCTATCTGCAATGTGCAGATCCTTGGATGACCTAGATAATGGAACAATCTACTAGTGAAAGGCCTTCCCGAACGGGACCAAGAGGACCAGTGTAGTATACTGCAAGAACTTTACAACCTTATCCTGAATAAAGCTGGTGATGACCCTATACTCTTTGACAGGGCACATAGAGCACTCCGACCTAGAAAAAAACTCAGCAGAGGCGCCGAGAGATGTTATATGCCGGCTTCATTATTATGGAGTCAAGGAATAAATCCTATGGATGCGCCAACAAATATCCCAACCAATGCTGTTCCGTGGGACACAGGTACAAATATTTCTGGACCTCTCCTGGATGGCTCTCCAAGCCAGAAGGGCTATGAGGACCCTCACTAACATGTTCCATGAATATTAGATACCGGTGGTGGTTCCCTCTGGCTCTCACAGCCTTCCCCAGATACCTACTCGAAGTCTGACTTTCCCGGATGGGGCGATTGCAGCAATGCACACTTCCCGATCCAATAATCCAGAAGAAATATCTCCCAGTCCGAGACTTGCACTATTCAGCGGTTCAACAGCTACAGCTGTCAGAGGGTGGCAAGGCTTAAACAGTTGGTAACATGTATCTCATCTATTGCATAACTTTATTATCCGATGCTTTACAGGTACCCTCCCACCTCCGGGTCACAAGGACCTCTGATATCCCTCATCCTCATCTCTCAACTTGCCCCCCACAACACAGTTTTATTATCCTGGTAGACCTCAAACTAACACCCCGATAGCTACCTGCCAAAAGTATCCATGCTCTCTCTCATATGTCCCCTCACCTACTACGCACGGATCATACACTCCCTGAGGTATTTGGTGAAAGGGTATATATTGTAGGTGTGCACATTTTACATTGATATGGTTAAGCATATGTCCAATTGACAGGAAGAGGGCTATACGATATAGAGATGGGATGGAAAGTTAAAGCCACCTAAATTATTCCAGACCACAAGTCCTCTATCCATAACCAGGGCGTGGGGGACCAATCGGCAGACTGTATTCAAGCCCCATAATTACCTGAACAAATCACCCTGATTCCATAATTTAAGTTACAGCATCATCTCCAATTGGATTGTCTGCCAATTGGAGAAACAAGAGCCACTCATATTTTACCCAAGGTGGGAGGTGTGGACGCATGCTAGCCAAAGCTCTACAACACAGTAGACACCAAACTTTCATAGCCCAGGTAAAAACATCCACAGGGGCAACATCCCATCTCATGCCTGAGATACAGCAGGCCTTTCCCGCCTTTTACTCTAATCTTTATAACCTCAGACAATCTCCACCATCCCAATCCGACAAAGACTATTTTTTTTTTAAATGACTCCCTCAGACAATCCCTCCTCACACCGGATCAATTCCACTTGGCGGTCAAACATCTACCGCTGGGCAAAAGCCCAGGACCAGATGGGTTCACAGCCAAATATTATAAAACTGTCTCCTCCATCCATGCAGGCCCATTCACGATAACCTTCAACTCAATACCCACAATTATGCACTCTCCCAGACACCGCTTTAAAGGCCC